CACAAGCTCTCTCTCTCTCTCTCTCTCTCTCTCTCTCTCTCTCTCTCTCTCTCTCTCTCTCTCGTTCACACGAACTCCCACACCATGTCATCCATACGCCCATTCTGTGCATTACGCTGTCACTCATACTCATATGCATTCTTGCTCTCTCTCTCCCTCTCTCTCTCTCTCTCTCTATCTCTATCTCTCTCTCTTAACTTTACGAAAACTGTGATTCACACTCATATACACACACACATTCTCTCATCTAACGACTCTCTCATCCAGGAACACTTATATATATTCACGACAGAAATGAAACAATGATCAGGGGGGAAGAGGGGGGGGGGGTGGTAACAAACGCCATTGTTTGTACAGTCCGTTGATCGGTGGCTGTCACATTCAACACTTGCTGTACTCAGTGTTTTTTTTTTTTTTTTGCTTTATTTTTCCTCTCATGTTCCTACATAAATTTCCACTGTCCGGTTGAACATGCTTTTCTCGGACTCAGTGTTTTTTTTTTTTTTTTTGTTCTTTCATTGTTTTTAAGTCAGATCTGTGATTTTTTTGCAGTCATACACTAAAGTCTTTCCTCTCATTTTCCTACATCCTTGAAATAATTCAATGTCCGGTCTGAAACATGAGTTTTCTCGACTGTCACACATTCTGGATGCTTGGATCAGGGCATGTCAACGTGACTTGGAAGTTGGGTGTCCACCTTCAATTCAAAAACTGCTGAGTTATTTTTCAGCCGGGGAGAATATTCATAGCTGAGATTACTCATTAACCCATTAGGGTCATGTGAAAGTCGCGATGGTACAGCTTGCCTGAATGCCGGCTTGGTGGTTAAAGGTTCCAATCCTCATAGAGTTCGATTTGTACAAATTGACATGGACTCAACCTTATATGGTCCTAGTTAGGGTTCCTGGGCCTCATGTGGAGGTGAGGGATAGATCCACTGACCTCTATCAAACATCTCATTAGAATCGACTAATAAGGAATGTTTTCTTTGAAGTAAATCTGCTTGAACCAACAATCTGCATAAAGTAAGCCAGATATGTAAAACGGATGTGCACGCAATACTCAGATTCTAGCATAAGACCAAGGTCATGAAATGGTTGAGCAACCAGAACTTTCCGCCGGAACTTACAGCCGGTGAACGCGAAGCAGAAGAAGGAAAACCTAAAATGGGTTTTAGGAAGTTTCATATTAAAAGTACAGTGCCATCGGCCACATCACACACTGAGAGCTGACTTTTGTTGAGAAACAGGGTCAGTGTTCCCAAAGACATTGAACTGGGGCACACTC